CACACCTTAGTCCTCAAGTTGACATCTTTGCTCTTCAACACTTTAAAAAGGTCTTGTGCAGTAGATTTGCCTAATGTAATATGTAGAATTCTGCAAAATCAATGATTTGTTCATTTCAAACACCTTCTTTAGACGGCATAAGAAATGACTATACACATGGACCTCACCAGATGGAATCCATAGAAATCAAATTGACTACATCTGCAGAAAGAGATGATGGGAAAACTCCATATCATCAGTCAAAACAAGGCCAGGGGCAGATTGTGGAGCAGACCATGAATTGCTCATATGCAAATTCAAACTGAAGCTGAAGAAAATGAAATCAAACAAAGCATTGCATTAGCAGTCAAGAAATCAAACGACATATTGCTTTAGCTGTTTTTCTTTATTTTGAGTTGTGCCCATCAGCAAATGAAGGTCCCCCAGGCTTTACTCCCATGGGCTTTACTCCATTCACGTCATCACAGTCAACTCTACTTTGAGGAGGCAGCTCTTCCTCAGTCGCTTTTTGAGTGCCTTCCAACCTGAGGGGCTCATTTTCTGGTACTATATCTGACAGTGTTTCTCTGCTAGTCATAAGGTTTTCAGTGACTAAAGATTCGGAAGTAGTTCATCACTCCTTCTTCCTAGTCTGTCTTCATCTGAAAGCTCATCTGAAACCTGTCCAGCATGGGTGACCCTGCTGGTATTTAATATACCAGTAGCATAGCTTTCAGAATCACAGCAACTCACAAACCACCACAGTATGACAAAATGACAGATGAGTGGTGGGACTACCTCATAACAACCCTATAAATCTAAATAAAACCTACTGCAATAGAATCAATTCCGGCTCATAGCAGCTCATATGGAGGATTTCTAAATCTTTATGAGAGAAGAAAGCTTGATCTTTCTCCACAGGAGTGGGGGGTGGGTTTGAACTGTCGACCTTGCAGTTAGACGTCTAGTACTTATCCTACTACATCATCAGGACTGCACATAGGGTTCCCAAGGCAATAGATGTTTACAGAAGTAAAGTTCCACATCTTTCTCCTGTGGAACTACTGATGGGTTCCAAATATTGACCTTTTGATTAGCAGCTCAGTACTTTAACAACTGTACTACCAGAGCTTCTTTGAGGCAAGGATGACAGTTCTAAACTTTACAGAGAAAAGATAAGGAGCCTGGATGACTTCCAAAACTCAAGAAAGACAAACCAAATAATGGCATTCAAAAGAAACCAGACAACGGGGCATTCCACCTTGGTTCCTTGTTGTTGTTAGGTCCCTTCAAGTTGGTACTCACTCATAGCAACATTATGCACAACAGAACAAAACACTACCTGATCCTGAGCCAACGTCACAATCGTTGTACTTGACCCTGTTTCTGCTGCCATGTGCCAATCTATCTCATTGGGGTCTTCCTCTTTTTCACTGACCTGCCACTTTACCAAACATCATGTCCCACTCCAGAGACTAGTCCCTCCTGATAATATGTTCCAAGTATGAGAAACAAAGTTTGGCCATCCTGGCTTCTAAGGAGCATCTGACTGTACTTTTTCCAACTGAGATTGTTTTGTTTTTTTTTTTGATGGTCCATGATACTTTTAATAGTCTCCAACACCACAATTCAAATTCTTCAAGTTCTTCTACTGTTTTCTTTATTCATTCTTCAACTTTCACTTACATATGAAGTTATTGAAAATACCATGACTTGGGTCAAACACAGCTTAGTCCTCAAACTGACATCTTTGCTCTCCAACACTTTAAAGAAGCTTTGCCCAGCAGATTTGCCTACTGCAATACGTTGTTTGATTTCCTGACTGCTGCTTCCATGAGTGTTGA